AACCATTGGAGGTTATTAGCAGGAGGTTATTAGCAAGAAGGTGATTTATTGTATATATACACATAGATGGTTTTGTAGCAAAGTAACTTTTTAGAAATGTTGAGATAGTGGCAATCGAGCCCTTTCTCTTTAGTATCCAGATGCTTCTGTTTTCTTAATATTTAGCATGGTCCCATTTGCAGCAGCTGATTGTCCTCACCTTATCCAGTGGATTTCCCAGTAACAAGAAAAGTCATGCCAAGTTTACTGCCTTGCATCTTGACAGTGATAATGCCAAGGCCACAGGGCCTTAACTTGAGTGCTTGTCAGCTTCGATTTATTCTTTTCAGCCACTGACTTGCTCCCTCATCCTGGTTAAATGCTTACCATCAACTTAAAGGGTGTGTGGAGGGAATTCCCTGGCAGTCCAGTGGCTAGGATTCCATGCTTTCACTGCCATGGGCCTGGGTTCGATCCCTGGTCGGAGAACGAAGGTCCCACCAAAAGGTGTATGTGGGTAGGTGGGCAAGGTCTCTTCTGGTGGAAGAGGAGCTCAGAGCGCAGGATGTGGGGGTGATGGCAGAGCTTGAGGTAGAGGCCGTTTGAGACGGTGGTTGGGTTGTGACCTGGTGGGTAACGCAGATGAGGCTGGAGCCTTAAAAGAGGCTGGGACAGCAGTCAAGGACAGAGGAGTAAAGGGGCTGCAGGAGGCTTTGGGAAAGTGGGCCTTTCGCGGCTGTAACAGGCGTTCCTCAATGCTCAAGCCTGCCTATTTCTTCTCCAGTTACGCTATGACGATGAGGTGAAGCGGGTGGTGGCCGAGCCGGTGGAGTTGGCTCAGGAGTTCCGCAAGTTTGATCTGAACAGCCCGTGGGAGACTTTCCCTGCCTATCGCCAGCCCCCTGAGAGTCTCAAGCTTGAAGCCGGAGACAAGAAACCTGAAACCAAGTAGTTTCAGGGCAAGCATGTGTATCCTAGAAAGCACCTTATCTGTAATTGAGTGTCCCTGTAAATAAAATCCTACTAGACTCACCACTTTCTGCGTGCTTCCCATAAGTAGAAGTGAAGCTTGGACTCAGGAGGAGGGAGGTGCAGGCAGGGCTTTTGCTGACCCCCTGAGAGAGACTTCCAAGCCGGGAATCTGTTTCGATGGAGCTAAATACTGCAGTTGCAGACAGGGTGACATGCACACCTGGATATACTTCTGAGAGATCCTGGAACTGAAATGAAAGTTCTCACAGTTCACAGGGCTTAGGATGGGTGTGGCATGCCTCTCCTGAGAACTGGAGGAGTCTCGGCCACTGCTGGAGAAAGCCCCTTGTCACAGCAGACTGTCTGGTGGCAGCTGATGGGTCCAGGGGCCTGTGAAAATAGGGCAACCCCCACCTATCCTCATCCTATTCAAACCACCACAAGGTTCCAAGAGCCAACAGCCAGAAACAGGACAAGCTGCAGCCCATTTTGAACCTTGTGTCCTGCAACCTGACCACATCGTGCCTGGGCTAAGGGAATCTTCCTGGACTCTGGTCTGAGCTGAGAATGTAAACAAGCAAAGGAGGGTCCCAGTCTGGGGCCAAAGACAATGAGGAGCTGCCGATCTGTCGCCAGGAAACAGTACTCCCCATTCCAGCCAGTCCGGGGTCTGCTCAGCCCGTGGCTGAGTGCCTGAGGGGGAAGAGTTCTCTGCCTGTCCAGGGGCCACTCAGCCAGCCCACCAGGCAGCTGGAAGATCAGGCTTTGCGGCTGTTGTTCTTGGCCACTGATGGGCTTCCTGGAGGCTGGGCCAGGCTGGACTGGACTGAGTGTCAGAGGCTAGACTCAGTTGCAGAGTGTTTTGGGGGTGAGGACAGATAGTAAGGTAGTCTTACTGCCTGGGGTCTCACCTATCTCTTTGGGAGGGCTAAGCCTGAGCTGTTTGCTACCAAGTGCCTTTTTCCTATTAACTAAGCATCCGCCCATCTGGGCAGGAATAGGCTTAGGGCCTGACAAGCTGGGAGCCAGGCTCCTACTGCCAACAACCATTCCACATTTCTCTGGGATGGAAAGAGCCCCTAGGAAGCCAGAGCCAGCCCCTCCCTATTGAGCTCTGAAGACCGACACGCAAGGCAGGGAGCAGCTGGAGCAGTCCGCAGTGGAAAGTTGGAGCCCCAGTGTGTGCCAGGCGGATGGAGGTGCAGAGAGACGCTGGGGAGAATAAGACTCGGAGGACCTGGTGGGGCATGGCCGGGACAATGAAGTTCCTGGCTTGGCTGACGGTAGCCATTTGCCTCCTCCCTGGGGTGACTACAACCTACCACCATGCAGGTACCCGGGCCTTGGGGTGGGGTGGATGGGAGCTAAGGAAGGCTGCTGGCTGACAGCAGTCACACTTGGTCCTATCTAAGCCCAGCAGGGCTTAGGAACTGTGGGTGTGATAGCTGCCAGGCTGACCTGTGCTGTGGAGTGGGGGACGGAATGGTGTGGGCCTCCCTCAGAACCAGAAAGGTCCAGGTGAAGTAAGGGTGGTTCGCCCTAGGTGCTCTCAACAGGCCTTGGGCTTATTCCGGCTGATGTGCAAAGCACGACCTCCTAACCTGCCCAGGGCTTAGGACAGACATTCCAAGGGTTAGGCAGCACCCCAGAGAGATGGAGCTGCAGCAGACACCCTGCTTTGCCTAGCCTCCTGTCTTGCACACAGTCACTTACTGAGGAGTGGGAAAGGACTAGGTCCTTCTCGAAGGGGTCCTCACCTTTGCGGAGGGTCACTGGCACCGTTTCAGGTCACGCTGTCCCCCAGATGATGATAGGGAGGGGTAAGGGGAAGTGAAGTGTCTTGTGACTCGTTGGCCTGGAGCTCTTGGCCAGGAGAACTGTAGAAGTTCAAGGAGGAGTCCTGGACATTTGCTGAGATGGTATCGGGGTTTGGGATGATGTCTGGGAGAGTGACTGTCACTGTGCGTGTGTGTAGGGGGAGGTGGACATGGGGTGGCATTCCTGTTTTTTGTAGACAGAGGAACTTCTGGGCACCCCTACCAGGCAGCTCAGGGCCACTCTGGGGATGCTAGAGTTCAGGGTGGAGCCTGGCAGCGCCCTGACTCCTCTCTGCTGCTCCAGGGCAACCCATGGACAGCACCCGCGTGGGAGGTGGCCTGAAGGAGCCAGAGGCCCCGGAAGTGATGTTCGAGGTCTATCCTCCAGCCTGGGACATGGGGGTGGGAGTATCCAGAGGTCCCTGAGCGCAGGGCTGGGAAGGGGGATGCCTCAAGCTGGGGCTGCGGGGGAGGGGGCAACCCAGTATGGGTCCCACTGCCTGCTTGCGCACTACTGCTCGCTGACCTGCTCCCCAGGCCCCAGCCCGCCCCTTACGTGGCTCCCCTTGCAGCTGCTCTGGGCGGGGCTGGAGCTGGACGTCATGGGGCAGCTGCACCTCCAGGACGAGGAACTGGCATCCACACGCCCAGGCCGCCGGCTCAGGCTCCTCCTGCAGCACCAGGTGCCCAGGGACCCGGAGGGCGCCGAGCAGCGGCTGCAGCGGCTCCAGGACCTGCGGAAGGGGCCTCCTCTTAGCCCTTGGGACTTTGAACATCTGCTCCTCACAGGCGTGTCCTGTGTCTACCGGCTCCATGTGGCTAGCGAGGCCGAGGAGCGAGGCCGCTGGGCCCAGGTCTTCACTCTCCTGGCACAGGAAGCACTCTGGGACCTGTGCAAGGGCTTCTGCCCCCAGGGCCAGCCCCCTTCTCTGGGCCCCTGGGCCTCCTTTGCTGACTCCTTCCCCTAACCCTCCCCTTTAGCCTGCCATCCCTCCTTCCCCCTCTCCCCCACCCCCCCTGAGCCAGACCCACCTTTGGCAGGGGCTTCCATCTGGCACCTGGTTCCTCCCACTGTGTTTGGGTCTCTGGGCTTGGCTTGTACCCTGGACCCCAGCCTACCCCTCCCCCATCTTCTTCCTTGGGCCCAGGTTCTGGGTCCCGGACCTGCAGGCGCAGACCTAAGGGCAGGACTTGCAGGCAGTGTGTGTGTGCATGCTGGGGTCAGGGTTGAGAAGTGTGTTTAAGAGATGCTGAAACGGAAGCTCCCAAGCAAGGCCAGGTCAGACCCTCCAGCTCCTACTCCGGCAGCCCAAGAGAGGATGAATCCACAGGTAATTTCTAAGTGCCCAGGCTTATGTAGACACCTCTTTGAAACCCAACCGAGGCTCTGGGGGTCCCTAAATTGCCCAAGTATCCCATCTGGGCTAGGAGAATAGACGACGTTTTTAGCTCAATCTGTTCAAACAATGGGGGGAGGCGGGTGCAGGAACATTATCTTTTGAGGGCCAGGGAAGTGACAAATGTTTTTTTGGTCCATCTCAACAAGGCCCAGAGAACAGGGTGAGGCTGGGAGGAGACTGAGGCTGGCTGGAGTGGTCCTGACCCTGTGCAGTTCGTCCCATAAAATGTTCTGTTCTGGCCTCCTGGAGCCCTGTGTCGTGTGTCAGATAAGTTTGTTAACCCCAACTCTGAGCAACCCCCCTCCCCATCCTGGGAAGGTAGGAATCAGGGCAACCAGATATCAGCTGCTCTTCCCGTTTGCCACGCCCGTACCGGGAGCCAGAATGTACCATCTCCTTGAATCCCATGTCCCCAGCGAGGCCGCGGGGTGTTGTCCCTTGTCCAAGAAAAGGAACCTGATGGGCCTTAAAAGTCACGCCGGAGTTCAAGGGGAAAGGAGTATAGGGACCGAGCGGAAACGGACATGAAGGGGAGACCCACGCGGAGTTACCAAGCAGAGTCCAATCGAATTCTCACCTCCTCGCTCGCCCAGGGAGAATCCTGACCTTTGCCTGCCGACCCCCCCACCGGGGTGGTCCCTCTTTTCCCGCCCCGCCCGAAGACAACAGCGTCGTCGCAGTGAGGACAAAGCAAAGCGCAGGACCCCGGCAGACAGGCGCCGGCGCAGGCCCACTTTATTGGCAGAGTCCGCCACGCGCGGCGGGCCGTCATGCTCGCGCCGGCGGGGCGTTCGGGCCGCGGGTCCGGGCTCAGCATGCATGCCCCCCACCCCACCCCACCCCACCCCACCCCAAGCTGCTCTCCGGGCCGGGATTCAGAGCTCGGGCGGCCCAAGGCCCGGCGGGCCGGCGGGCGGGAGGTCGGGATACACCAGGAAGCCGGAGAAGGTGATGTACTTGCCGTGGTTGCTGTAGGCGCCGTAGCCGTCGCGGTCGTGGCTGAGCAGCCAGACGGCGTCGCCGCGCCGCAGCGCCAGCATCACGCTCTGGCTCTGCATCTCGCGGCGCCGCGACGCGCCGTCGTCGTAGATCATGGCCTGCACCTCGTCGCGGTTCTTCATCAGCTTCACCGACAGCGTCTTGCGCGGCAGCTTACCCAGCGTGAAGGAGAAGAAGTAGGCGCCGGGCAGGCGGCAGCGGAACACGCCGGCCGCCGCGTCAAAGTCGCCGCCGATGTTGACCAGCTCGGTGTCGAAAGCCAGCGGCCGGTGGCGCGGCCCGGGGCCCGCGTCCGAGCCCAGCAGGCTGCGCGTGCGCGCCGCCGAGAAGGCCGAGCGCAGCTCCGCGGACCCCGAGGCCGGGCCCGGGGCCCCGCAGGCCGCGGGGCTCAGCAGGCCCAGCAGCAGCAGCAGCAGCATGGCACCTGGGACGGGAGGCACGAGGGGGACGGAGACGAGGGTTGTGGGGGGGGTGGCGGGGGGCCGAGTCCCCCTGCACAGCCCTGCCTTGATCCACAGCTCGGACTTCTGGTTTCCTGCACAGCAAGACTGGCTCAGAGGTTCTCACAACTTAAGTAGGCCTGGGTGTCACCTAGAGGGCCTGTTAAAACACACACTGTGGGCCCGCAACCCCGCCTCGCCTGCGATGTGCTGTGCTTAGTCATTCGGTCGTGTCCGACTCTGTGACCCGTGAACAGTAGCCCACCCGGCTCCTCTGTTCATGGGATTCTCCAGGCAAGGATACTGGAGTGGGTTGCCATTTCCCTCTCCACTCGTCTAGGATGAGGTCTGAGAATTTCCATTCCATTCACAGGTTCCCAGGTAATGCAGAGATGCTGCTCGCCAGGGACCACAGTTTGGGAACAATTAGATTAGATCAGTGACTTCTTCTTTTTTTTTTTTTTTTTGTAACCACCAAACCCCTTTGTGTGAAATTTCGCAGATGCAAGTGGAAATGCTCTGGCTCAAGGGTCCTATAGCCCTGCTGGGTTTGCCACATCCCCTCCTCCTTGACAGCCAGGAGCCCTGGAAACACAGAAGGTGGTCAGGAAGTCTCAGGGTTATCTTCAGCTTTCGATTGGCTACGTTTTCCTGGTCTGTTCCACCGCCGGTAGCCTCACCTCACTCAGGCACTGGCTGTCTGTACTGACACCTTCCTTGATGGCTGCTGTTTAATTCCCCATCTTGGCAGGAAATAGCTGCTCCCTGAGCTTACTCATTGGAAAAGACCCTGATGCTGGGAAAGATTGAAGGCGGAAGGAGAAGGGGACGACAGAGGATGAGATGGTTGGATGGCATCACCGACTCAATGGACATGAGTTTGAGTAAGCTCCGAGAATTGGTGATGGACAGGGAGGCCTGGCGTGCTGCAGTCCATGGGGTCGCAAAGAGTAAGACATGACTGAGCGACTGAACTGAATTGACCCGTTTCCTGGCCTCTGACCCAGTCAAGGGTCAGCTCCCACAGTGGACCTCTGGAATCACCAGGGGCCCTTCTTGTCTTCTGCTGACAACCTTGAAGAGGTCAGAACAGTTGGGTTTTGAGGTAGTTCCCTCCCCCCACAAACTCAGAGAAGAGAAAGGGACTCTTTCTTCTGGGCTTGGGGGTTGCTCCCTGAGGGGAAAAGAGAGAGCCAGGGGCTGCTGGGGATACAGTGGGAGAGCGGTTCCAGTGCGCTTCGGCAGGTCTGTGAGGTCAGCAGCTCGCTTCCTCAGTCGGAGCGGCCGGGTGGACAAGACTGGCAGCTAAACCTGGGCTCACGTCCTGGTGCTACTCCTCTACATGCTGTGAACCCTTGGGCAGGTTCCTGAATGTCTGTGGGCACAGCCCCTTCTGTATAAACGGGGGAGGATGTCTGCCTAACAGGCTTACTGAGGATGCTCTGACATAGCAGGTGTGAGCACCTCTGCGGGATGGCAGTGCAGTCAGTTGATTTTGGGGGAAAACTGATGTGATCAAGTGTTTTTTTATTTTAATCTAATTTAAAAAATTTATATTGGAGTATAGTTGAGGATCAAGTTCTTGACATTACGGGTTAGGGTTCAGTAACCCTTACCCCTGGAAGCTTGGTGAAGGCACTACTTGACTCAGAGGATCATCTCTCGGAAGTTAGGGAGATGCTTCCTCCGTAAGCTTCCCAGTAGGGCACAGGCTTTGTGGACTGAGTTCCCCGACGCCCTGTCGTGGAGGCAAAGCGGGAAAGAAACTGAGCTGGCAGCAGCCTCGGATGTGGGCTTCTGTAGGAGATGCCCTGGGCGTGCACCTTTGTGTCGCTTAGAGGAGCTGGGGGCTGCCAGGAGGACTGCCGGGCGCAGGTGCACAGACGCGCTGCCCTCAGCAAGGACGCTCCCCTGAAGGTCGGTGGGCACTGGAGTGCAGCCCACATCCTGTTTGCCCAACTGTGTGGAACCGCTGCACCTGGGGAGAGTGCGCCTTTTTCTGCTTCTCGTAAGACCCCCAAGTCCCTAGCCCAGCTGAACACTCTCCTTCCAGAGACAGTACCTTTTCTCATTCTTACAAAGGTGCCCCGTGGGCTAGCCAGTCCCCTTGGTGAGGGCAGGGGTGCGGGGAGAGGGGCTCCCTGCAGCAGTGAAGATTGCATCTCACAGTACTCATCGCGGTCACTTTCACAGGGCACTTCGGACCTGTCTGGTGTCACAGCTAACCTGCAAGACGGGTGGGCCCTCTCCCGTTTTACAGGGGAGAAAGCTGAGGCCCAACCAGGGGAAGTGTTTTTGGCCCAAGGCCACCCATGGAGCCCTGACGCAAGCCTTGGACGGAGGTCTTTTGGCTCCAAATTCAGTGTGCTTTCCTCTCCACCCTTTCCTTCTAAACATAGACATGTCCAGCCAGCCTGTTATCTGCCTCAGTTTCCCTTTTTGCAAAAATAGGAGGGGAAAGAAGTGGAATGAGTCTTGGGATCTAGGGGTAAGGGGGAAGAAAGCATAAACCAACGAAAAAAAATAACGTTTTTGTCTCCTGGGAATATGGGAGCATCTCAGCTCTTCCTGACCCTGCGGCTCTCCTAGCGGGTCTTGCCCCAGGAGCAGCCGCCCACTGGACCCTCGGTAGTCTCCCTGCTGCGCCTGGTGCACCCTGCCAGCGCCGGCCGGTCCTCCTGTGTGTTCGGTACCCGGCTTCCTTTCTGCCCACTGCCCATTTCTCAGACCCCTAGGTCCCCAACCTCCCTCAGCCCCCTGCCGGAGCAGGTCAGAGGTGAGAGGCTGTCAGGTGGGCGTCACAGCTCCAGGGAAGGAAATGGCTGTTCTGGCTTCGTGCAGGTGAGGCTCAAAACAGTCATCTTCAAAGAGAAAAAAAAACTAGGACACGGTGCGCTGGACAGAGCCCCGGAACCGACCGTAGAGGTGCAGCCATGCCAGGCTATGGGGATTCCAGAGACCCCTCCCAGCGAACCCCACTCCCCAGACACCCCCTCCCTCAAGCTCTGCTCAAAGCGCCCTCTCCACCTACCTTGAAAGCCCCCGGGGCTCCCAAGAAGATGAGTCCCCCTTTCACAGAAGAAGCCAATTAATCCTTTCTCATTAAAAAAAGAAAAAAAGAAAAAACCCTCGGAAAATGGTACCTTAGACCCTCTCCCCCCCAGACCTCCCTTCATCCATCCTTTCGGATGAAAAGCCCTTGAGCCTCTTTCATGAAAGAAGCTCCCAGATCCTCCTTTTAGGGAGAAGGAAAAAAAAAAAAAGGGCTCAGTTCCCGGCCCCCCTTCCCAAGGAGAAAGCCTGGCTTCCCGCGCCCCAGAGCAGCCCTCACCTGGCTGGGGGCGGCGGTCGGTCGGGTTCGCTCCGAGCCCGCGATCGGGCTGCGGGCGGGCGCCGGGCTGCGCACTTGGAGAGCGAGCCGCCGGGCCCGCGCGGGGAGAGGCGGGGAGAGGCGGGCAGGGGGAGAGAGGGAGGGGCGCGCCGAGCGCCGGGGCCCAGGGGCACCGCACGGAGGCCCCCCGCGCGGGCCGCGCGAGCGCCGGCCTCGCCCTCCTCCGTGACCTGCCTCGGGCTTCAGCCTCTGCGTGTGCAGAGCAGGCAGCAGGAATCCAAGTTAGCAGACGGGGAAACTGAGGCCGAGGCCGACGCCCCACCCCCGCCCCCAGGGGTGGCTCGGGGCAGTCTAGAGACCAGCCTCTTCCCTGGTTGGAGGAGAGGGGGCTGGAGCGGGGCGCGGAGACTGGACTAGCCTCGGGGCTGCAAGGGCAGCGGAAGGGAAGAGTTCGGTGGGGACAGACGTCCAGGCTCGGGGAGGGCGGGGGTGGTCTGCGGGAAGAGAAGGATAAACGGGTCAGTGTCGCCAGGAAAGGAGGGCTTACAGTGCCCGCTCTTTCTTCCTCAGCTCCAAATCGGAAAAGGCCCGTGGTTGGTTAGGAAGGAAGGAGGAAGACCAAACCCCCAGGCATCAGAGGGTCAGCAAAGGAGGGTGGGATGGGCTCCCGGGGAGGGGGCGAGGAAGGAGGGTCCTTGCAGAATTGCCTTGTGGCGGAAAGGCTGCTTTCACAGCATCTGCAAGGAGGGAGGGGCTTGAGAAAGGCGATGGGAGGCCTCAAGGGGGCTGTGTGCAGAGGGACACTGACACCCCGCCTAGCTGGGCCCCGGTGGGCAGGACCCAGCAGGACCCCGGGTCTGGGGGCAGCTGCTGGCACTCACCAGGGCCCTTCCACGGCTTCTGCCCTGGACTCTGAGCCCACCTCCGGGAGGTTGCAGTCCTCTCCTGAAGGCTGTGCTGGGCGTGACCTGCCAGGCACTGGGTAGAGGCTGGCGGAATGGATGGTGGTGAAGAGCCCCACTCCCAGCTGCCAGAAACAGGAGCCCTCGGACTCAGGAGGCCCAAGTTCTAGGCCTGGCTCTGCCCCAGTCTCTGTGGCTCCCCTGTGCTCTGGAGCTCTCCTCCTGCGACTGTCAGAACCTACAGACCCCAGTTAATCTAACATGGGTTAGTCCTCATGAAAGCGTTGACAGTGATGATGAATCCATTAATATTCTCCAGGTGTTGAGGGAGAGATGGAGTGAATGGATATGTATCTGAACAGAAAGGAATGGAAGGAGGCATTTCGGGCTGGGCATGGGGTATTTGGGGGAACACAGAATGAAGCATCTGTCTAGCCCTTCTATCCTTTGTCTCCTCACCAGCCTGTAAAGGTCTAAGAGGGGTGTGGGGAGAGGCTTAGGAGGGCTGGGGAAGACCTGAACCCAACCCGTGGCAGCCAAGACCCTTCTTAGGGCATCAGTACCTCTTCTGAACCAGGAAGTTGGGGTTGCCATCATGAAGGTGCGTTTTTCCAATGGTGGGAGGGCTGGGAAGAAGGCAGGACTCTAGAGGCGGAACAGCTAAGCCCAGTGGGGTTCTGTCTCAGGCTGAAAGCCATTTGACACTCCCTGGGTCCACAAAACATCTCACCAGAGGAGTCGGGGGGTGGGGGGTGGTGGTGGAGACAGGTGGCTGTGGCAGATGACAGGAGGGTTCAAGGGATGGGACAAGATGGAGGTCACTGGCAAGGAGTTATGGAGGAGGAGGATGCCATGTACTAGCAGGCATCTAGGGGGTGGGGGTGCCCTGGAATGGAAGTTAGGGGGCAGCAGGATTCAGAGAAGACAGCCCCAGGGCTTGGTTGTAGTTCCTGCCTGCTCCAGCTTTGTCCTGGAGCAAGTTGGAGCAACACAGTAATAATTTCATAGCAAGCTCCTTTCACTGGGTGTTGCACATGCTACCAGTGCCCCTTCTCAAGCCCCCAGGTCTGCGTGGAGGTCACCTGCTGGCAGCTCCTGAGCTTGCTCTGTGTCTCTCCTGAGGGAGTCCCAGCTATGGAAGCGAGGGTGGGGCAGGCTGGAAGTGGAAAATTAACACCCTCCAGGGTAACCCTCAACAAGGAGGGTTCAGAGTTAGTGGACAGATCCTCTAGCTTTCAGTCCCCCGAAAGTGGGACAATCCTCAATTCCCAGGCGTGTTCCAGTCTCAGACTCCAGCAGAATGGACCGAAGTTGTCCATGGGGAAACCTTGCTTATCCCTGTAGGCTGTGCTTGCTTTTTTTCTTTTTTTCTTGTTTTCCTCTTATCTCACTTCCCCACTTGCTCACCCTGCTCTGGGATCACCTCCTAAATAAACTACTTGTATCCAGATCTCTCAGGGTCAACTTTTGGGGGATCTCAAACTGAGATAATGAACCAAAACTGTGTTAAGTGCTTTTCCACTTCACCCACTGTCTTATTTAATTCCTATTTACCTATGGCCATGCTGTGAGTGATGTGGGACCTTAGTTCCCCGACCAGGAATGAAACCCATCCCCTGCAATGGAAGCATGGAGTCTTAACCACTGGATTGCCAGGAAGTCCCCTTATTTACTTACTTCACATCCTCTGAAGTAGATGTCACTAGCCCAGTTTCACAAAGGAAGAGTAAAGAGGTTAGTGCACAGAGGATCTGAAGTCAGGCCGATCCAGCTCCAAAACCCATTCCTTGACCACTACCCCTCTGCAGCCTCCCTAATTTTTTGATCCTCTCGGGGCCTTATTTTTTCATCTGTAAAATGAGGAATGAGCCCTTGAGTTTGAAGGGAGGCAATGTACCCAGTGCCTCCTGCACCTAGGCCTTGTCAGTGAGATGTAAGCAGAAGTTATTAGGAAGAACTTCCCTTGTGGTCCAGTGGTTAAGACTGTGAGCTTCCATTGCAGGGGATGGGTTTCATCCCTGGTCGGGTATGGATTCGATACCCAGTGGGGGAACTAAGATCCCCCATGCCTTATGGCTTGGCCAAAAAAAAAAAAATAACAACAAAAATTACTAGGAGAGAAAGTGGTTTAGAGGGACTGATGAGGCCACTCTTTTTGCCCTCCCTCTTCCCTTTTCCCGGAAAAGGCAGTGGCACCCACCCCAGTGCTCTTGCCTGGAAAATCCCATGGACGGAGGAGCCTGGTGGCTATGGCCCGTGGGGTTGCGAAGAGTGGGACATGACTGAGTGACTTCGCTCTCACTTTTCACTTTCACGCAGTGGAGAAGAAAATGGCAACCCACTCGTGTTCTTGCCTGGAGAATCCCAGGGATGGCGGAGCCTGGTGGGCTGCCATCTGTGGGGTCGCAGAGTCAGACACGACTGAAGCGACTTAGCAGCAGCAGCTTCCCTTTTCCTGGAATGTATGCATGAAAGCTGGAGCTCCAGTTGCCACATTGGGTCAGGAGACAACAATGAAATTTTCTGAAAGTGTTAATTACATAGGGTACTCAGGAGGGAGCTGAGATCCCGCTCTCAAGGAGCTGATCATTTAGGGAGAGTGGCGGGATTTGGATATAAAGAACCACAATAGGTAAAAAGAGATCAGTACCAGGAGAGAGGTGCAGAAACTCCACCTGGGGGAATCAGGGTGGTGTCACAGAAGTTATTTCTAAAAGATCGTGAGGATTTTACATAGTGCTGATAGGGGAGTAAGGGAGTGGGATCCAGTCTAAGTTAAAAGTTTGAACAAAGGCATGGAGGTAGCATAGATGTGCCAGTGTGGCTGGTTGAAGAAGGGTTTGTGAAGGAGACACCAGGACAGATAAGGTGTGTGGGGCTTAAATGCTGAGCTAAGGAGCTCGGTTTAACCTGTAGCAAGCGGGAGAGTGCCCAGAGCAGTATTTTAAGATTATTCCAGCCACAGAGTGAAAGGCAAGAGACAGAAGAGGCAGGGAGATCTAAAAGAATCTACCCCAAGTGTCCAGTCTGAACCATGCAGGGTTAGTAAGAAAGGAAAAGGGAAGAAACAGATGGGAGAGAGACTGAGAAGAACTGCAGAGACAGAGGGCACACACACACCCAGGCTCACAATTTAATTAGCTTCTTGGTTTGCCGGTGGATTACAGGGGAATTAGCAGAGCTCAGAGTCGAGGGACCTTGCTGGGAGTTGAGGGGAAGCTAATGAGAAAGACAACAACAAGCCCCAGGGAGAAACAAAAGGGGAAGGATCATTAGCCAAGCAGAGAAGCTGGCAGGAGAAACAGATGTCAGGGCGCTGAGTCCCTGCCTCCCTGGGAGATTTCAGCCTTCCGGGGGAGCAGACGTTCAGAGCTCCCGGGCAGGCGGGCTGCTAGCCCCACTGCGCCTGGCTCCAACCCCTCTGAGCACTTAAACAGCCGGGCCTGAGGGAGTTGGGAGTTGCTGTGAGGAGCAAGTTCTTAACTCTCTGTTGGCCCTTTTCCCAGAAGCGGATCCCTAGGTCCCTCCTGCAGATGGGGAGGTCGAGGCCTGCTCCTGACTAGATGGGGCAAATTCCATTTTCCAAAGTGCTGTGATGGCATCTCCCATCCCACCCTGTTCTTCTTACACTGGGACCACGCCACTACCCTCTAAGAGGACGACCTGGGTTCACCCGTAAAAGGTGATGCAGCTTGTCTGGTGCTCTCCTTCTTGAAATTCATGCTTGGAATCCAGCCGTCATGATGTGAGAAAGCCCAGGCCACATGGAAAGGCTGTGTGTGGCTGTTGTGGCCAACAGCCTGAGGCAGGCCCAGTTATCTAATTTGCAGGGTCCAGCGCAAAATGGAAAGACGGGCTTTTTGTTCAAAAATTAAGAATTTAGGTGGTGATAACAGCCTTACACCAAGCATAGAGGCTACGTGTGGGACTGTGTAGCTGTATAAAGCATCCCATGAAGCTGGCCCTGACCCCAGCTGAGGTTCCAGCATCCCCTCTTTGCAGTACGGGTGCGGAAGCCTTCAAGATGACTCAGGGCCCAGTCACTGTCTGATGGCAGCTGCGGAAGAACTCCAAATGGGAACCACGTGGCTGACCCAGTGCACTTCCAGATCCACTAGGGACAGAACTGACTGCTCTAAACCAGAAACTTCGGAG